CCACCCACCACTGTTCACGGTCGTTACGCAGACCTTTTATAAGTCTGTGCCTAAGCTGACTACGCTCTTCATCATGTTCAGAGTCAGGTGGGATGCGTTTTCGAGCATCAATCAGTCCCGTGGATGCGACTGAAATCCACGGCTTCATCCTAGCCTTATGGTTTACCTTGCCAGCAGATATCCATGCTGTTTCCACAGCCTTTTTGATATAATTCCAACCTGAATCCGGATTGAAATCACTTGCATGGTCGGCTTACTGATTTTCTAGTTCCTCCTGAAATATTTTCTTAGCTTGATTATCATCAAGTAAAGCCCTAAGAGGCTTCCCTGAGGTGTCTTTCCTACGTCCAGTGAGCCCCAAAAAAGTACGCACTCGCACTAGGGCATGATCTGAATCTGAAGATGTACTCCAGAAAGAGCGACAGTCCTCTTTTGAACCCCTCCATCGGTGGCTGATGGCGATAGTGACCTAGTTGCGTCCAACGTTGAGACGAATTCGGGGGTCGCCAGGTCAAAAGATGTTTTTTCCTTATGCTTGAAATCAGTGTTTGCTAGAAACAGTTGATTAGCTGAGCACAGTTGCAACAGACGGTCGCAATTTTCTGTTCTCTGAGCCGCGACACCATAAGATCCACTAATATGTCTTTCATTTTCACTTAGTCTACCTACTTGAGCATTGAAGTCACCAGCCATTATAACTATATCAGAGCGCTTAACGTTTTGGAGGAGGTCCGAAAGCTTTCTGTAAAACTCATCTTTTACATCGTCTGGACTGCAGTCAGTGGGGGCGTAGGCTGATATGACGAAGAGGCAACGACGAGTGTCCCTATCTTTACGAGTCCTTACTGTCCCGTTAGTCGGACGGCGCACAGCGACTATCCACAGGGATCCAGTCTAGGAGTGCTAGTTCTGTCCTTTGACTCAGGGCTATACCTACACCAGCGAGACCTCTGAGAGCAGAATCAGGGCTACCGGATACACGAAGAGTAAATCGAGTTGCTTCTTTATCTTCACATGGTGAGGTCAAGTGATTGATTCTACTCGGATCCTGTATGCGCGTTTCCGAGACTCAGCAAACATCGATGGCAAAAGATTCTAAAGTCCTAGCTAAGGATGCCTGTTGCTCTATTTGACACAATGTCCGTACAATAAATGCTCTAACATGTAGCTAAAAACGGGTTTCAAGGAGACTAGGAACGACGTTTCGCGAACTCGCATCGTTTCCGTTAGCTTTGCACTGTGATAAATGAATGTGAGAAGAGTTAGTCGTGGTGATAAGAGAGGTATTAGAGGGTGTTGGAAGGATTTGATTTTGACCAATTTGGTCTCGTGTGCTGTTACGGGTATCGGAGCGGTTATCACTTCCCGGCCAGCCACACCCTGGTAGGGTGTTTCTTGAGGGACCTGAAAAGGAAGATAGATTAGTGTTGGTCTTGAAGACCTGGGTACGTGAACTCAGAGCTCAAGGGACAACTTATTCAGGCCAGTCACGCACGGCCTTTTTGTTAAAGGTTTTTTGAGTGTTAGCTCCGCTCTTAAAGGTCCTTAATGGGCACTCCTACATCCGGAGACGGAAACACGTGAGGTAGGGTGAGGTGTGAACTTTTTAGGGTCGACAAGCTGCAACTTTCTTATTCATAGCAAAGACCTTCGGACCAGTAGTCTCTTTGGATCTGTTCTCCGGTTTGGGAGGGGAAGAGGTCGTTATTGTGGAGTATTATTTCCGGTCGTGATTGTATCCGTTACTAGCGAACTTGGAAGTTTGTTAAAGCAGGGAAGACATTTATATGAATTTTGAGAGAAATTTTGATTCTGAATTATTTATTCTCGTATTATTTAACAAGCAGGTTTTTGTTATCTCACCTTTGTACGGTAGACAGTACGTCTCCGGTAACATAATTTAAGTTGCCGCTTTCAGTCCTACAATTCTGCGATCGCTCTATCTTACAATGTAGGTCATTAAGAACCATTGGATAAGGCCACATATCTCCGTTCTGTTATCTTGGTAGCCAAGGTGGCAGCTTCTTTTAGGACGTCATATAGTCAGGCCGTCTGACGGTCCTGTATTTATAATAGTGATGAATTACTGAGCGACTCATTGTCTCCATAAAGCCTTAATACTATGAAATAACCAATCCTAATAATCACTTTTAATGGTTAGACAAACAAATATATCACTTTGCTTATGATACTGACGAACACAAGTTTATGTAACGAACGAATGAGTATTGCAAAATAAAGTCAGTTCAAAATAGTCAATTAGAAGGTAAGAGTCTGAGACATCAGAGGACAAGGGAAGGACTTTTTAGAACTACCAGGAATTAATTAGCAACGGTGTTACATTGGGTGAATTCTAATCTTTCAAAGAATCGCTATGAGCATCTGGTGGTTTGTATATTATGTTTTCTGAAGAAGGGCTGGAAGTAGGAATATAGTTTTGGTTGTTATGGTCAGTTGATTTACTTTTAGAAGTATAGTAGCGTCCTGAGTAGTAGAAATAGGGGGCCAGCATTGGTGTTTATCAAGTAGTAGTATTAAGTAGTCTCTTTGGATCAGTTCTCCGGTGTAAGGGGTGAACAGGTTGGTATTGTAGAGTTTTTGTAACGGTCGTGATTGTATCCGTTACTAGCGAACTTAGAATATTGTTTAAGCAGGGAAGACATTTATATGAATTTTGAGAGAAATTTTGATTCTGAATTATTTATTCTCGTATTATTTTACAAGCAGGTTTTTGTTGTCTTACCATTGTACGGTAGACAATAAGTCTCCGGTAACATTATTATGTCCTACAATTCCGCGATTTCTCTATCATTAAGTGTAGTTGGATTTTCCACCGTAGCAGTTCAACTCGATTCCAATAGATGTATGCTGAACGCACCTTCCCTTATTCGAATATCAAAACACAATTATTCTAGGAGAAAGTGGTCTTTTTATATAGAAGAAATGGAAATACAAACGTTACCTAACGATTTTTACGTCTTCCAATTCGAAATTACTCTGATGAGTATCCAGGTTCCAGAGACTAGGTGAAACTGGTATACTGCGACGGTATCAAATCCAAAAATGTGGCTGTAGCCATATTATATCAAATTTAAACAACATGTGTACAGTTCACAAACAAACACAAAAACTTCAATATACGTACAAAATATAGAAATAATAACAATATACAATGATAAAATCTCAAATCGGAATCAATTAAAATACCAAAATGTCAACAGAAAGAGTCCGTCATGTCATAACAAAAATATAAAAACATGGAGGGATTTTCCAAGAAACAAAACATTCAAAAAAGATTCTACATTAAGAACCACACGATAAAGCCCTATATCTTGGTTCTGTTATCATGGTAGTAAAGGTTGCAGCTTCTTTCAGTATATCATATACTCTAGCCATCTGACAGCCCTGGATTAATAATGGTGATGAATTTCTGACCGACTCGCTATCTTGAAAATCCCGAATACCATGACATAACCAATCCTAATAATCACTTTCAATGGTTAGACAAACAAATATATCACCTTGCTTTTGATACTGACGAACACAAGTTTATGTAACGAACGAATATGTATTGCGTATATAAGTCAGTGGTGACCGAGTAGGATGGCATTAGTAATTGGTAAAGCTGAAAATTAGACCAAGGCATCTCATTTGATGCCGAATATTTGATACCAGTTCACTCAATTTTCGTAATGTATCACCAGTGAGTTTGATAATAAAGTGAGCAGAATATGTTCTTCATCAGATAAATAGTTGACATAAAAGTAAAGAAAGAAATATATAAAATAATTGTGAAGGAAAGTGTTTCTAAAAGAGCAACTAGATTCAGTGAAAGAACAAAGTATGCACAAAATGTATGAAAATTTTAATTTCATGTAAAGAATAAGAAACAATGAAAATTTTCTGCATTATTATTGTACTCATTAGAATAAGATTTTAACTTGAATTTACAGTCACATTATATGCTATACACAAAACTCGTATTTTATAACTGGGACAACATTGAATAGAGTGTAGCAACATACATCTACTTATCAAGGTAACGTCTAGACAATGTGCTTTTGTAAATATTCAATTTCACCTTAAGTAGAAAGAATGGAATGTTCAGCAAACATCGAACCATGTGTGAAGTTATTTTCAATCCAAAATTTACTAAAGTTTTTCTGACTTGTTAATTAGTGGCAAAATAATTATTTCAGTTCTATATGATGATGCGAATTTTTCCTTTTTTCACGTTCAGTAAGTGACGATAATGTCTTTGATCGGAAATACTATTGCGTCGTGAATGCTTGAATGCAACTGCGATTTCATAACTGCTCATCAACAAAAATAGCGTGAAAATACAAAGCCACTGACGGATTTAGTCAAACAATCCAGAATCCAAAAGGCGACGCACCTTATCGCATTAACTAGCAAGCTCAATCCGCTCATTTTTCGAAACTCAACTATCTTTCGAATATATCGATTTTTCACTCAGTGTTAGACCGACATATTCTCATCGATGTTCACCGATGTTTTCAAGTTTTCTAAAATTATTTACAGAGACGTCATTGGACTCCAAAGATATAAGACTTTCATTTTCATTCTGCATTATTTTGCGCACGTTAGCATATCTACAATATGGTCTAAAATATATGACCATAACAGAAACAAATAACTTGAGTGTGTTCAGTGACGATTTCCTCTTGTTTGTTGACAATCAAATGATAGCATTTTGACGAGAAAAATCAGAAACGTAGTGAAAAGTCAGAAATTTCAAAAGTATTTCGGAGAATAATTTTCAGATTTTTGTCAGTTGTCACATTTTATGTTGCGATCAACACAGCTATCTTATCGAGGAAACAAAATTGTATGCAGCGTGGTAGTGTGAATCTACACTATACGTTGTGCGCACTTCAGATTTTTAACATTCACCCCCTTCACTATGAAATGTAACGTTCACCGAATATCGAATCATTTACAGAGCCCTCTTCATCAACGTGACATTTATTCAGAAAAGCATGATTTCCAGTGGATTGATGGTCATTTATTTACTTGGATTTACATTTCCTGCTAATCTCAGATGTACAACAGTTTGTGAAGTATCGAATCAATTCCACTTCAATAAATTTAGAATTCATACAGCGGAAGATCATCAAAGATTCCCGGTAGGAATAAAGATTATACCTAATCCTCTTCCCAAGTTTTACGACCGCTTTCATTCTATGCACGTCATACGTGATCAAAAACGTGGTATATCAGGTTTACAATTCAGACCTATGAATAAAGTTTCCGAAGTAGGTTTTTTTCAATTTTGCAAGATATATGACTTACATTTCAACATATTTTAGGAAATCAAATCACCATTCAACATCACATTTAACGGTGCAGACTACGATAAGCTACAAGTGTATCGAGATGGTAAGATACACTTTTTTTAGCTATTCGGAATAATTACTAGGACATTTAATTTCATGATTGATAATTTTCTTTGAGTTAACCTGTAAGTATTTTGACGAAACCAATCTACCCGCTCATGGATTTCAAAGTCATAAATATGGTAGGGAAAATAAACCATATTTGTCCTTGAGAGAACGATTATTCATCAAGAGTTATTATAAAAAATATATAAGCTTGTATCAAGCAAACACGTTCCTTCCAGCTACTGAAAAATGATCCTTCGAGCGATAATAAACAAGAAGAAATAATCAGTTTACAGGTTATGCTAACATTCATTTATAAAACACTTCGTCAAAATTGATCATTTACCGATCAAATGCATTCGATTTTATGACGCGGATAAAACATCATGCAGAATTCCATAATACGTTAATGGCAGACAGCAGATCGTAGACTGAATACTAATATCAGAATAAATTGAAAAACTCTTGTGAAACTCTGTAGTGCACTGACAGTACATAAAGCATTAGACCTCAGCATTTCGAACAACAGATAGGGGTGTTTATTGATTGTTGCAATGTAAACCTTTATTTCCTCAACGTCACTCAGTTCTTTCCTTAGGAGAGTATGTGATATAAATGTATCTGTTTCTTTGTATTACTCGGAAACAGGTTATGTAATTTTACCACATCTACACGATTCAGTAGTGCTGGTTCCTTATTACGATGAGCATCAGAAAGGCTATGTAACAGAGACTGCAACCAGAAGTGAGTATTATTATATTGATGAGCATTACTTGCTTCTCTATCTTACATTTATTCAGTATACAATAAAAGAGGCGAACACCCTTGATATGAAGTATCAAATCAAAATAATTGTATTTTTCCTATTGTAAAAAGAGGGACCTGGTGATGATGCACGTTTTTAACAACTAACAAATAAGGAAAATTTGAAGTAGCATATCCAAACATCTGAAATTTTGACTCAGAAACTGAATAATATGACAGGGGAAGAAAACATCTTTCTCATAACAGCTAGATAGCTTGATCCTTATATATAACTAGCATTTCTCGGAGTAGTTTGAAAAGAAGCAGCTTATTTTACGGCAGCTAGAATTCCACTTTTGACTATACATGTTCCCTCAAAATATCTGTATGGGGTTTATATTGGTTTATGAAATTCATTCTTGTGTAATCTGGTTAAGTTTATATACATTTAAAAAAATTTATTTGAATTATTTAAGGGGATTCGATCATAATCAGATGGATTCGTGGAAATGATCAAAATAGGCACGATGAGTGTAAGTCATATTATCTCATAATTCTATTAAAAGCACGTAATTATAACAATATTATTCCATTTAAATGGACGAGTCCATCAAAACTGTAAATATTGCAGACTTTTTCCTTTTATCTAACATCACTGTGTTTTTTAGTTCCAGTGATAATACTGGAGCGATGAATGTCGTACATCAAAATGTGTTTTTGCTGCAACATCTTTACATTCCTATAACCATCTCAACATACAGACGAGGTTCGCTGCAATATCTATCGCACCGGTGATTTCGTTTTTCACTATATCACGGTGAGTGAAATTCTTCAGTTAAATCTAAACCTAAAGAAATGATTAAAATTACAACTACAGACATATCACGTACAGTTGTGAAACATCATCATTGCTGACATGTATAGATATTTTAATGGCACACTTCAGTTGATATCTGATAAATAAACTTTGTCGATCAAATGTAGAAATGAGTGAAGCAGATCGAAAAGGATTATCTGATGAATATTCTGTTAATTAAAATGATTGATTTTGTTAGGCACATTGGAATAGGTTTAGATGGTATAGAGTTCAATGATGAAATATAGATGAGAGATTCTACTAATATTATTTTGCATTGATTTAGCACTAAGAAAGGACAACCTGTCATAATGTAGGTCTGATTGCACATAGCACATCATGAATTTTATTTGTATTACACAGGTTCACGAATGTCCGGTTAATTTAGTTCCCGTTGATGAGACAAAGTGTCGCGTAAGTGTTTGCAAACATATTCCAGAATACGGACATAGGCTTAAATTGTGACAAGGAGTCAAACGATTGCAGAAACATAGAACATAAAATCAAATAAGTTTTATAAAACAATGCAAATTTCGTATCACACACAATTGAAAGGAAATTTATTTCTCTTATCACACTATCGCAAAACAGAACGTTCACACTATTTATGCCAAAAAACTGGTTGAAACAAATTCAAGCATACTGTCATTCAATGACCGAAAACTACGAAGAAACTGACGGAACATACGTTGTGAACGTTTTCAAACAAAGCGGTAAACAAAAGCTAGGTAAAGTCTATTCGACAAATTGATCTGTGTGATTATATTCGTAGTTTGACAGCCTTTGTACGCCTAGATACATATTGCTGGCACGTGGATGAGTTATTGAGGATTTTTTTTGGAAAATTATTACTTTTAATGACTGGTTAACGGTTTTGACTGCAGTGAATCCATGCCATGTACATATGTTTGTTTGGTCTCCTGTTTCTCTATCGTGAGATACTAGCAAGCATTGGACTGATAAATATCTGCGTGTTATACATCTAACAAGGTAAAGTAAACTTATGTTGTTGTGCTGATCAAGGACGTTGTGTATGTTGAATAACACCAAATACCAACGTACGAATCTGGACGACATTTCGCCTAATGTATTCTTTTCTGTTCACTCGGTACTTAAGGTTTATTAATTTGATTTATATTGAATAATTTCGTCAACGTTATCTGCTAACATGAAAGCTTCATTCAGTTACGAATTAAGTGATTGTCAATTTCAATTTATTCCAACTTGTCTGATGTGCTCCGACATTTGTGCGATGCAATATACCTAAATTCAAAGTAACCGTGTTTGCGCCACTTGCATATCGTTCATTGAAACTGAGAATTTATCAAAAAGAGGGAGGAAGCATTTTCAATCATTACACTTATATTTCAGGCAGCTTGCGTTATACGATAATCACATGCAATGCATCAATGTGACTGATAGCTTTCGTTCAGTATTTTGTATATATGAAACTATGACGTTACGCTCTAACTTACAATGTCTGATAATTCAATAGATATCTGTCTGATATCTGATATTAGCAAGGCTAATTATGCATATATCGCTTTTGAGCTAGTCGATCAGGAACCTAATCGCTTGCAACACGCTGGGGTAATCCAGGGGCCGTATCGATCGTTGTGATGAAGAACGCTAAAAGAACTTTACGCATTTGTGTCGATTCCTCAATCGATTTAATTGCTGCATTGGATCTGTATCAGTATCCGTCACCAGTTCTTGAAAATCTGTTTATCAAGCTTAATGGTAGGACATGTTTCGCGAAAATAGACTTCTACGATGCAAGCGCAAGTAGGTGAAGATAGTACAGAGCTCCTGATTGTTAACACCCATCGAGGGCTATTTCAATACACTTGTCTACCATTTGGCATCAAGACCGAACCGGCTATCTTTCAGTAAATAATGGATACGATGCTAACAGGTATACTTGTGACAGCAGCTTTTCTAGATGATGTCACAGTTACGGGCTCAAGTGACAGTGAACTGTCAGTTCGACTACATCAAGTCATTAACCGATTGTTCGAGTATGGTTTCCAACTTCGTGAAAAAATTGTATCTTATTCATGGATTGGAACAAATACCTTGGTTTCATCATAGATAAGAACGATCGCCGGCCAGACCACGACAGCATATAAGCCATTCAGATGATGCCTGCACCAAGTGATGTCTTTGCGTAAAGATCCTCCTTGGGGTTGATCAGTCATTACAGCGCATTCTTGCCTGACATTCATCGAGTGAGAGTTCTCTTGAATGAACTACTTTCAAACGATTAACCTTGGCAGTAGTTAACATAAGGTCAAGCATCTTTCGATAAACTCAAATCGATGCTCGGCTCAAAGCTTCTTTTGACATACTTCGATCGAAGCTTGGGAATTTTTGTTGCATCTGACGCATCTAGTTATGGATTTGGGGCGGTAATATCTCATGTGTTTCCGTATAAATCCGAAAAAACTGTTGCTCATGCTGCCAGATCACTCTCCCCAGCCGAGGGAAATTACTTTCAATTTTTTCACGAAATACTCAATTGCTGAACGGTTAGTAAATTACGTCAACTATTTAGTCGTTTTGTATTCCCGGAGTCGATAGTTAGTTACAGAGGAACAAAGTTTACCGTTCGCAACCTTCTCACATCTGTACCGGAAGAACTGGAACATTCTCGTTCCATTCCCTACCAAATTGTCAAGTGAAACGCTTTGTAAGTACATTTAAAAGTGCTCTGAAAAAATGTCGGAGGGGACCTCTGCAGAAATTTTGTAGAGGTTGCCTCTTATTTATCGCTCCTCACCGAACCCTCAGACGATTAACCTAGGCTCACCTGCAAAAGCTCTACTTGGCAGTAAAATACGAACACATTTTGATGTCATCCGTACGACACTAGCTCTTTCGCCTCAACGAAACCCATCGATGGAGAAGCAGTTCAATCGACACCATGTGGCACAAGGCGCTCAATAATGACATTTAATTTTAATTAATTATTTATTTAATTTATGTATTATTTATTTATTTATTATTATCTAATAGATAGAGATACTGATCGGCGCCACCAACATATACTTCCAGTCTTCTTAGAGAGCCACTCACACAAACTTTGATCCAGATGTTGAAACGTTTTTCGAAATGGATCACACTATGCACACAAATTAGAATCTCATTCTTTACCGTATAATATTATTTCACATTTTTCCTCTGTATCTTAAGTAGTATATGGAATTGAATTTATTACATATTTTATGTTTTAGTAGCATTGAATTACTTTTCGCTGATTTTTATTGCTCTCTTC